GACAACTTCCGTCACGGCACCACACAGAAGCACGGCAAGCTCCGCGGTCCGTGTGGGTAGCTGCGCAGTGTGGTCCGTCATTGAAGTCAACGGTATAGCAATGGTTCTCGCCACCTTTGCATATGTGTATAAAAGCCCGAGGTTTCTGGTGATGACAGTAGAAATGTTCGGCATCGTTCACGCACCCCACCCCTCCTGGCTTTAGATCTTCAATCAAGGAAGCTGTTGCCATCTTCGCTGTCGTGCCTTCCTTGACCCCAGGAAACATGGCAAAATTCTCAGGTCGAACGCATGAAGCCGAGATCAGCAATGTCCAGAGCAGAACTCTATGAAAGCAACCCATTGGCAGGCTGGCAAGCAACATCTTTCTAAGATGAGCCCTTGGGCCGGACGACAGGCTGCGGCGGAAGGCGGCCTCCTGACAAAAACCCTTCGTAAGGCCGAACCAGGCGCTTGCAGAGTTCGAAGCGGCTGCAAGGGGTCTGGATCATTAACAGTAGTATTGCCTTTCAATCTCCGGAAACCCAGACAGTACCCTGAGCCCTTTAAATGGCCAGCCCGGCCCTACTCCGCCCCCTTTACCCTTTCTGCCTTGAGCCCGACACCCTAAAGCCATCAAACCCCCGAGTCTGCAGCCGACAGCAGCCCGTTACCCAAACCCGCCCGATTCGCCAAACCTGCAGGGTTAGGGTTTACCTGAACCGCGAAGAACGGTTTAGGGTTTAGGCTTTTAAACTATGAATGCCTCGTATAGGTGCTTAGAAAGTAGGAGTTATTTAGGGTCCAAGTAAAATTACACGCAGCAAAATTAAAACCCCGCACTAAACGATAACACCAGTTGCGAACGGTTTAGGGTTTAGGGTTTGATGCTAGATCCCGCCCGTAAAAACACTACACCATGAATGCCGCAAAGCAAGCTTTGTTGCAGTTCCGTGACTCGGGGAATGAAGGAATAAGGGGAACCACGGAATAATCAAAAACAAAATGCTGGGGAACCCTGAAAAAGAAAAGGTGAGCCTGTTTCAGCCTCCGCCACATCGATTGTGATGTACGGATTCGGAATGCACTTTGCCATCTTGGCTACCTCTTTGCAGAAAAACAACAAAAAACAGCATTCAACTATACGCTATACTCAAGAAGGGGCCCTAAATAGACCCTCTGGAGTTTGCATAGCCCCGGGAAGCACAGCAAGCACGATGCGGCGCTACCACACCAGCACTTGGCTGCGAAACCCATGAAGCTTCCCAACATGAAAATGGAATCTACTTTAGCCTGGTGCTTGGGCTCTAGGGTTTATGGTCTGCGCAACACAAACCCTGAACTCTATACCTCAATTCCTACATCCCAAACCCTGAAGCGGCCAGGGAAGAGTAAAGTTTAAAGCTACGCCGTCGTCCCAGCTACCTCGGCCAGCAAGGCTTCCGCAGGCGGCACAGCGGCATCGCCCTGAACACGGAGGTCCACACGGCCACTGTTTCGGGTACCGTGATCACGTGATCATCACTACCACTACGACCACCACCACCACCTCTGTGCCAGCTAGGCTCGGGGCACTGATCAAAAATGGAAAGCAACGCCAGCATTCTCACAAGGCAGCCATGACACGGAATCCCGGGTTTCCTATCCGCGTCTTCCCATTCCGTGGTTCTACGCGCGGCTTCGCTGGACCTCTCTGAGACCCAGCGTTCTGGAGATCGCAGCTTGCCATATGGATCTTCTGTGTGTGCTGATTGCTTTCCCGCTCACTTGAATGATCGCACCCGGCCGTTTCTACCACTAACTGCTACACGAAAACCGTATATAGCCGTCACACTTTCCTTCGATAAGATCGCGTGTGCACTGCCTAGCACAACTAAACTCAAAATGTGCCTATATCAGCTGATAACTTCCACCGTGCATCCGTCACAAACTCATTGGCAAGGCGTGCAAGTATGAAGGACAGGTAGCGTGCCCATGCGAATGGTTGCGCAATGCGGGTGGAACTGCTCCAGGAGCAACAACCTTGACGTAAGCAGCAGAAGACGGCGAGATTTAAAATTACAAGTTGCAAACATAGCCGGCATGGTCACAGAAAGTGCACGGGAATGGAGGGCCCTCGTGAGTTCGACAAGTAACATGTGCCCTCGTGATGGGTCGCTACCTTGTCGAAAGCCTCCTAAGAGCTTGAAGAATGGATCCCACCTTGCAACTACTTACACATGGGCGATGGTTTCAGGCGTGAAGCAACCAGTGAAGAAAACAAGCATCATCCCATTACCTAGTGCCCTTTCATGAGGAAGATGTCCAGACTGTTGCCCCGAGTTGCAGTTGCCACAACCATGTCCGACTGACAGCTTTAAACCCCAAGCCATGTGCTTTTCATGGCTAGGGTTCAGGTTAGGTTAGACTACTTGGCCCACATTGGATGCAGGCTTGTGCTTGAATACTTCGGGTCTTGACTCTGTACACTCAAGCACACTCAACCCTGAAGCCCAACATCCCAACAGCCTCGAGGCTTTACAAGATAAAACACTCTAAAGCCACTTTTCAGCCCCCCTCTTCCTGTAGGAGCCTGCGCCCCAATGCCAGAAGAGGACTATGACTCCCGCAACCTACCAAAACGTACTTTCTGTTAGAGTCCCTATGGAATGCATGTTGAAGTTTCTAATATGAACCTACAAAATTCAGTAGGGTTTGGTAGTTTGAGGTATAGTCAGACCCTAACCCTGATGCTCGATACTCCGGGCCGTCCGCGTGGAAGCCCCAACTCCCGAGCAACGCCACGGAACTAGAGATTTAGGGCTTATAAGGTTTAGTAGGGTATTTTTTAAAGGGCTTAAGGGTAAAGTAACCCTAAATCCTAAACCTATATGAACCTTAAGCCTTCATCATGGCAGTCGGGTTATGGGACACATCATAGCCATGGCTAGTTTTCTAAATCAGGGCCCCTTTTTGAATCCCCGAACTTAGTACGGCACCCTGATAAAAAGGACCCCTCAAAGGGACGCTATTTTGGGATGACTACCCGTATAAGAACTATATAGAACAGGGGGATGTGGGTACTAGTTGTTCCGACCCTTATATTACCCTCAAGCCGTCTTTTGATTCGGGTCATGACAGAAAAACGCCTGTATAGTCGCACTCTCGAGCACATACTGGGAAACACTCTGTGTCTGAGGGTTGTCACAAACCACCCTAAACCCTAAACCCTAAACCCTAAACCCTAAACCCTAAACCCTAAACCCTAAACCCTAAACCCTAGACCCTAAACCCTCTATGATTTTATCAGTGTGATACCAGGAGACCTCTGCTTCATCTCATTCCCTACCTAAAAGTTTAGGGTTTAGGGTTTAGGGTTTAGGGTTTTAGGGTTTAGGGTTTAGGGTTTAGGGTTTAGGGTTTAGGGTTTAGGGAGAAACACCTTCTGTCTAGATATGGACCTATGTACACACAGTTATAAGTTATAAAACTGCTATAGAAGGCTACAGAGAACCCGTGTAAACATCTCTATAGAACCCGATAGAAAAGATGGCAACTGGGCTCCCTGCAACAACAAATCCCAAACCCCAAAACCCCTAAAAGCCTGAAACCAAATGCCAGACCTGCAACTTGCAATCCGAGGCACGCATACAGGAGTTCCAGAAAACAACGGAGGCTAATATGGAACGCCACATTGATAATTCAATCATGGGAGGCACAAGCCCTGAACCCTATATAAAGTAACCGAATTTCTTTGCAACCCTCCATATTCGAGATTCAGGCTGGCAGGTCTCGCATTCAGAACCTAAAGACTGTGCCTTTATGCCTTCATGCTTCAGGGATCTTCAGGGTTTAGGCTTGAAGGCTTCGTCGTCAAACGAACCCCAGGCCCCAGGTCTTTAAGCTGTCTCGCGCTGGAGATTGAAGATTTGCCCCCATGCCTAGCTGCACCTTTAAAACCCTAGACCCTAAACCCTCTTTACAAACCCTGCTTACGAAAAACATGCAACCGGAACTACATGGAGGGCACTGCTCGGACCACGGATGCGGATCTATGCCTACTGCTACCCTAAGCCGGGACCCATCTGGAAAGCCCCATAACTTTTAGATTTTGATTTTGACAAAACCTAGCCACAAATTGTCGATTCGGCTCCGAAAGCAGGCGGGCACGTGGTTTCTCCAATGCTGGCGAAAGCACCGCAACGGACATGGACAGCTGTCTTTGAGGTCCAACTGCTTGCTCATAGTGCGATTGGCACAGACAGGACAACCTGCTTGGCCAAGCAAACATTCCGTCCAAGCCCTGGGCCATGAAAGCCTTGAGCGGCTGCGGCTGTAACTTCATGCGGCTTTACTCCGCCGTACTGGTATGCGGCCACCTGGGTTGTTGGAGTTGAAACTTGTGTGTCTGCTAAACCCTCTACCCTAGTTACTTGGTTAACAAACCAACCATAAATGCCGAAACGCTGCCTACGAAGTTCGACCCAGCGAAGCATCACGCGACGCAATTTCGCCGGCCACCACGATGGTCTACGCATGCAAATGTTGCAACATGCTTTAATAAACAGCATGGAGGCAACTATTTGGTAGTGACATCGTGCTTCCCAAGAAGGCAAACAAGTTTCACCCACAAAGCCTGGGCGAACAAAGACCTTCGGAGGATCTGGCTGCCACTTTGTGCATCCTCCTCCTCTGTACAATGACTGGTGCGACGGCTTTGGGTAGCTAATGGAAGCTTGAAGCCAGATGCTATAAGCCCCAGCATTGCTTCCGCACCGAAAACCTCTAACAGCTACCCACCCGGCGCGGCATCATTCAATTCGCCAGCCGCTTGGTCTTCTAGATTCCATGTGACCTGTCGCGGTTTAGCGTTCATGGCTGTCGTGTTAAGGGGCTTAGAGGATTTAGGGTTCACGGCTTTTTTTAATACGGGGTTTGGGTGTTTTGGGTTCAGGATTCTGCTTTCAGGGTCCGCTCTGAATCACATCTGCGCCATTCCTTCTTCGCAGAGAAAGAAAGGATGAAAGGAGGACCGGCCTGAGTCATGGTCCTTCATGAGCTACATGTCCTTCATGAGCTACATGTCTCTTCTGGCATGGGAGCAGCAAGGGCTCGCAGCAGCGTGCTTCAGCCTAAGCTGGGCGCCGACAGTTCGGTGAGGGCCCAATACCGGGTATGCACGGAGTCCACCACTACCAGTAGCGCTACATGCTTGAATGCCAAAGAAGGATTAACAAGAACACACGACTTGGGGGGTTTCACTCCCTGAAACTCTCTAGTGGCATCCCCAAGATAGGAACCTCGTTTAATCCCTTTCTTGCAAGGGAAACCAATGCAACTTGAGCGGATACAGGTGTGCACCAGCAGGGTGAAATTTCGAGAAATCGTTCAAGCGGTCGTGATAGGTTCTACAATGTTCTCTGCTTGAAACAGTGGACGATGCTAACTTCTACAATGCAATACCAGCGTACCGGGTTGGGCGCAGCGTCCATAGAGCCTAGGTCAAGAATGCAAGGATCCCCAAACCTCAAACCATTCTGTCCCAAACCCTAAACGCTAACCCCAACCCTAAACCCTAAACCCTAAACCCTAAACCCTAAACCCTAAATTCCTTGTTCTGGATTTAGGGGTTTGGGTCTGATGCTCAGGATGCAGTTCGACTACTTCATCTGACATAAACTCGATAATCCTAAACTTGAACCCCGAACTGGCGACACCGCATACACCTTACAGTTTAGGGTTTAGGGTTTAGTTTAGGGTTTAGGGTACCCCCGAAGACGTAGCTAGTTTGCGTCTGCTGGGGAGCTCAGCGTTCGGCCTTTTTAGGGCAAGCGGAACAACACCGTGCCCGAATTGGAAACCGCCTTCCCTACAGAGCTCGAGCTTTGATTAAGCCCCCAAGCCCTACAACAATTTCTCACAAACAGTCCAAAACCCTCATATACACCTGATGGATGTCCCGGACCACCAAACACTATTTAAGTAATCAAGTCCTGCATCAAAAACAGAAAATCCTGCACAACCCTTGAACTCTAGACTCTCAACCCTGGGCTGTGCAAAGCTTCGTCCCGGTCATCCTCCTTCTCAGATCCGGGTGATACAGGAGCACCTGACAATGCCTTACGGTACTTTGTAGCATAAGACTGCTGGGAATCCCAGTGCCTATAGCATTCTCATTCGTCAGGAGCTTGTACTAGGAGCAGCATGCGGTCAAAGGGCTTTCCAAGCGTTGCTTTATAAGTGTGCTGTAGAGGCTCCAACAGGGTTTAGGGGTTTAGGGGCTATGGTTGGGCGGAGTTTGTTTGGCTTTGGGTTCAGGGATTAGGATTCGAGGTTAGAGGTTCTTTTAAATCGCAGGATGCTTTGGTGCCTGTATCGCGACAGAAATTCGATGCGCACCCGTTTAAACGACATGGGGTTCTGGGCGGCCAAGGTGCTTTGCTGCGAATCCTTTTCCTGGATTCGGCCCATCTTCAAGATCAGCTCCACATCGTCTTCGGCTTCATATTTGAAGTGATTTTGGAACTCTTTGCGAGGGGACCGGGTCTCCTTCGTTGCTGCTGGGCTCGCGTCCTTAAGGCAATGCTGAGGGAGCACAGTAGCTAATGTGGGGCTGGTCACCCACACACACAGATTACCCTGTCTTAGTGTCAGCGTGCATGTACACGACAAATGCAAAGCTCAAGCAAGCCAGCAAAGTGCTCCTCGTCCTTGTGCTTGGCCTTTTCGTGCTCAAGACGGGATATCTGGTCCTGCAACAAACTCGAAAACGCCTAGGCCAAAGTAGGGCCTACGTAACACTCCCCGACACTAGCCGACCCATGTGGAATTGAACTCGCAGATGCAACGACTGCAGCACATATGCGACACGCGCATAGGACAATCAGCAACATGTGCCGGTCATGACGCGTGCAGAAACAAAGCTACCCACGGGTTGCACTCGCACAGCTCACACGAGGGTCTGAAGGTTTAAGGCTTTGCACATGGCAATAAAAATAAGCGGATATACAGTGATACACAGCAGAGATCTGAAACCCGTCAGCGAAGGACAGTGCCCGATTGGATCTTCATCCCGACCTTCAAGTAAATGACATCCGCCGTCGTGCTTTTCATGACCTCCCCAGGCAGCAGACTACACAAGGCTCGGGTCGTGCTGAAAGTCTCTGTGCAGGTGCCCGACTGCTCAATACGTGTAGCCCAAAACCGAAACATGATAGGACCTAAACTCACTAGGATGTTTTGGATCCGGCCTTCTCGTAGACTTTCGACAGGCTACCGCAGCAATAAGAAGCCAAGATCTTCACCACCATGGTCGCGACGGTCAGTAAGCCCAGACTATTCCTGCAAAGAAGCTGCTCCAGCAGCCGCTTATTGGGTCCAAAGAACCTTTATGATGGCGAAATCATCTCCTACTCTCTTTGGTAAGGCTGTTAGAAACATTGTGTTTCTGCCGACAACGAAGCATGCAGCGACTACTGTCTACAGGGCTCTCAAGCATCGTCAAGACTCGTCATGACATTGAGGAAGCTTTGCCGACTCAATGATGCAATAGTGCCGCTGGGTGCGATGACGACGTTGATGCCGTATTCCTAAGGTTTAGGGTTTAGGGTTTATAGGGTTTACGGATGAATTGAGGATACGCATTCCTAATCTATCGTGTGGGTCTGACGGTCAAAACTTAGCTGCGAGGTGCATGCGCAAGCTCGACACGGTCTCCACGTTTCACCGTCGCGTACTGGGAGAAATGGTGCTTGTTCCGTCCAGCCATCTCGAAATCCATGACGTAATACGTGTCGATGAGCCCTCGCCAGTACCTTGCATTTAGTGGGAACGCGGCGAACCGATCCTGTCGCAACCCCACTTTCCCTTGAAAAAAGTTCAAAGATCCAACAACTCTGAATGAGCGCAGGTACGCGTAGTTCCGGACCTCAAGAGACAGGAGAGCAGTGAAGCCACTTCTGCGCAAAGTCCTCGAGTTTCGAGTCTCTTTTTGGGGTACCCATAGGCCCTAAAGTAGTCCCTTTTTGGGGTTCATATATAGAATCCTATAAGGTAATCCCAAAAAGGAACTACTATGGGGCCTGTGGGTAAGCCCCCTACTCGCCTTAGTCCTGGGAGTCCTACACAACCAGGTGGACGGATCCGATCTTTTGCGGTCCTGTTCTCGCCTGTGTACACAGCGACACCACGCATGTCATCTAAAGATATGCCCATCGACCCAAGCAATGTCGACACCTTGAACACATCATTGCCAAGCACATTCCCATCGGATGAAATGTAGCAGGGTGCCTGGCTAGTATTTTGGCCTTCCTGAGTCGTTCTGTGAACCGCGCAAATGTATCATTTGCCCATGACCATTACGCCATTACACTTTCTTTTCTAATTACACGTAACAATACCTGAACATGCCTTGCTAAAACAATGCTGATAATACTTGCATCTGGATGAGCCCACGCGCCATCTTTCACCTTAGACTTCTCCTTGCAAAGCTGGTGATGAATCTGATTGGGCGCTTCACCACGTGATCCCACGAAGAGTCGTCCTTGAATTCGGTAGCCTTGTACAACCTCGTTCACCATGCCCGGCACGTGATGCTTTTGAAACACAGTTGGCTCCAGGAGCAACTCGTAGTTCTCCACATCCGGTACATACTCCACTCTGGCAACGTCACCTGAATCGTCGATGTAAGCCAAGGATGTGACAAGATTGATGGTATCTTGGTTTTGGCGCAACACTTCTTCTGGTCGAAACCGCCGGCATGGACACTTTTCTTCTGCTTTTCCTGTGCAGGAATCGCCTAGGGAGCAGTACCGCACTTTTCGGGACTCTATCGTGACATCCGGGAAACGGAGCGAACTCACCATGCTGATGCCCACGTCGGGCATCTCCAGGTAGCCGCACTTGTAGATAACCTGGTAGATGATAACGTAAAAGAAGATCAGGAACATGAAGCTATAGTGTAGGCATCCAAGACGAGAGTCCTGGACACGGTGGTATCTACGACATGCCTGTTTGTTCCCAATTCAACTTTCCAAAACAAAGATCGACAATCACATGCTGCTGCCCTCACTCTTGCCCACTTGTCCCGGATGACCGCATACTTCGGGGCCGAAAACGAACAGAGGGAATTCAGTGAAACAGTGGACAACCCAAAGGCCATGGCTTCACGTGAGGAAGCGGAACGAAGCGCCACCAGGCAATCGACAAGGATCCGGAAAAGCCCGCTGCATGGGAGGAAGAGACGTGAGAGTTTCAGAAAATGGGGACCCCAGTATAGAACCCCAAACACAAAGATCCTTACTCAAAGAAGACCTCTCAACAAGATACCCCCGGGTTGCTAAACCCCACTTGACTGCAGCCGCAGTTTGCTGCATACTCAACTGTGTTATGCATTTCTAAAGACTGCGTAGCCCATGAAGTACAGCCATGTGCCGCGCCGTAAACCCTAAACCGCCAAAGCATGATGCAAGAGTCGCCGCCAACATATCCCTCACTGCACTCCTTTATGCATATCAGGATGCCAGTTACATTCCCTGTTGAGGGTGTGAGCCACAATGTCAATTTACCTGCGGCCCCGCCATACTACACAACAACAAGTTTCATCGAATATGCCGTTGCTGGATTGCGAATTTGAAGACTGAAACTTGAGTCACGCAGCCTGAATTCACATCCTAATAAACCCCAAACGTTCCGAGTGCTGAGGGGGCTCCGAGTACGGGTGGAAGTCCTGAGTGGGTACCTAGGCCCCTATTTTTGTGGCTTTTCAGGGCTTAAGAGAGACAGAAGTGTTCGGGATCCCGTGAAGATCTTACTGTTTAGGGGTCGTATTAACTAGGGTCTAGGGTTTGAGGGTTTTGACACTAGTTCTGCACGGTATGCATAAGCACCCTAAGCCCTGCACCCAAAGCCAGGACACCCTTCCACATGCATAGCAGCTGGTGACCTAGACATATCTGACACCTCAGTTCTCCAGGCCCTTAATATGGGGCCTTAATGTCAGATTGGGGCTTGGGGACATATTGCAATATTCTTGTATAAAGACTATACTAAGGGATGTTAAGGCAACTTGTCCGACCCCATTGAACCGAGCTGCTGACAGTCGCCTGAATGGGGGATTGAAGAACGGTAGGCTTTTGGTTTGGAACAGGAATCCACGTCGAACCCTGAACCCCTAAATCCTGAGACACCATAAACCCCTTAAAAACTGGGCTTGCTGTCTGCCAGAGCACGACAATCCGACTTGCCACCCCATAAACCCAGAATTGAATCCTGAAACTCCTCAAACCCAACACCTGAGTGACCTGAGCGCGAGAATTATCAAACTGCTGGCAACAAGGTGGTCGCGTCGATGTCAAAACCAGCAGCCCCTAAGCCTAAATTCTGGAATCCCATAAACCCAAGTCACGCAAGCCGGGGTTTCATGGGCTTCGGGGTTACATGGTTGAGGGTTTATAGTGCTTGGGCCGCTAAAGGTTAAGTAAACCCCGAACTTCGGTAAACCCCACAACCTTTCTGCACACGGAGCTGAGACATCAAGCTTCACGGGTGCCCCAATACTTTAAGGGTTCGTATCAGAAGCTCCTTCACGGAATTCTGTAGGAGTGCTTTGCTTGGGGGGGTTAAGGCTAACCCGTAGCCGTAAACTCAAAACCTCGTGATCATAAACCCAAAGCGGCAAGCAGCCAAAAAGAAAGAACCCTAAACCCTAAACCCTGAACCCCAAACCCCTTGAGCCTGAGGTCTAAGCCCTAAACCCTTTTGAACCCAGACTCTGCCAATCAGCTGGGAAGCAGCACGTCCAGACTATTGCATCTGGGAAGTAGCGCCGCCAAACTCAACCCAAAATCACTCTGAACCCCAAACCCTGAACCCTAAGCCCTAAACCCCGAAGAGGCCTGGCCTGAAACGAGTTTGGGGAGGCCTCCACCAGCCGACCCTGCATGAACCTAGGGGCTCTCAGCTGGATGGGGTCTTCGAGCTGACATGGAAGTTGTGGGGTGACATGAAGCTTTCCAATTTCTAAGGACTGTGTGAAGGTCTTGTAAGGGCTCGCAGGTTTCGGGTGCGGGTGTTGGGTGTTGAGTTTCAAAATCTTCTTTTCTAGTTTGCAGTTTCGAAGATTATCGGGATCCTGGGGATGAGAGATTTAATGGCTAGAGCCATAAAGCTTTTAGAGTCAAGACTGCTGATTATGGCATTTGGGCTAATCTCTACATCAAAATGCGAATGCCGGGAAAGCTCAACCTGTGCACAGAAACCAAGAGTTGCGCTTAGAATAGTCCAAAGCCGGTCTTGAGAGCTTTGGTTCACGATCTGCGACTCTGAGGATTGTCCCAGAATCGTAAGCGGTTCAAGACTTCGAGATGGTGGGGCATACCTGTTGAGGTCTGTGGGGCTTCCAAAGTTGGGGCTTCGAAGACTGTGGGGAGGCTTCAAAATCTCCGGATTGGATGGGGGAATGGGGTCAAGAGGATGGGTTTCATGTGGTTTCGCATGCCTTCGATTGACCATGGCTGATGTGGGTGCTTGCAACTACTTGGAATCATCCAAATGATTGCAGTACCACGACGCCTGCTAAACACGTATGTACCATTGCCCCGTCTGGCTTCCTGTGACCTTGCCACCCCAACGCCGAACGATCGTTCATGAAAGGCGGAACATTAGAGGGTTCAGCGCTCAGTAAGCCTAACACACTAAAAGCCCACGCCAGTGTTCATTTACAGTGATGACGGTCGGAGGCGTCGTGCCAAACTGACGGGTGCTGTTCTGAAATACGGGGGCGCATTCAGGGTTCCCTGGTAGGAAAACTGGCTTTTTTGGACTAGAACAAACTCCTTGTTGGCGGAAAAAGTCAAGACTTGTACTGGCTTTCTTCGACGAAGACAAGACCCGCCGAGGAACCACAAGCGCCACTCGTTGGTCGTGGGTTCTCCTCGGGCAGCGTAGCGAACAAGATCCACGTACTCCTTGAAGACGACGCCTGCAGGAACGACACTTGGCCCGCTGTGTGGTTGTCGGAGAGTACGTGAGGTATCGCCAGGATTGTTTAGCACTTGTAAACGAAGTCTTATCTTTGTTCGGTAAAGTATGTCAAAAGTTCGCAGATTTATTGTGCCCACAGCAAGACAACCTGGACTAATCATGGCAACAATAAAGTCATCATGGTTCACCGCCAAGGTCTACACCCTAGGCCAACACGGTAGGCTTTTCAAATTAGGATCAATTAGGCTAACCTCACAGAAGCCTTGCGACCTTAGCCCTGCTGCTCGCACGCACAGCCCCTAATCCATAATGCACCTCATGCTAGACCCTATTTGTAAAAGCCTGGGGCTCCCGAAACAAAACACGTAGGCACGCAACCCAGAAGCTAAGCCATCATCCCAAAAACGAGCGATGAGCCACAGCCCGAGCCACCATGGAATTGTGTTACATGGGGAACAGCATTCAAACAGCACATCATGTAGACGCCTGACTTGCAGACTCCGTTCTTTGCAGGCATGGATGTTCGAATCCGGACTCTGATCCCTTCTAAGGTATGGGGGTTATTATTCAGGGGTCTGCTGTACTACCCTTTGGGTGGGTAACATTTAATGCCCCAAACAGCGTCGTAACACAAAGGCCACAAGGGGGATTGTATGCTCAGACTAAAGGATCATATAAGTCGCCAAGCAACGTTCAACACACAAGGTGACCCGTTTCTTTGACCTCTGATAGTCCACTGCAAGAGATGCATTAATCAGGGGGTCTACATTGTAGTCATTATGCTGCATAAGAGGTCAAGTCTTTCTCCCGACAGTCTGACATCCATCACCTAAGGCCTAATGCATGGGCGGGATTAATACTTACTAATACTTTATTGGAAGGTGACGGCGGAATTTATGCTTTTCTAACAAGATTGTATAGGGTTTCATACGGTTTAAAGGCTTAGGGCCTTGCTGCGCCATTGTGTATCGGTGTATCACTGTCCGACCTACCCCCCCCCCAGAACCACCATAAGCACTGCGCACGGCTCAGAACCCAGCCATAAACTCAGCAACACCCGCCAGCCTCGAAAGCTCTACACAACCTTGACCTACAAAATCGGATGAAGCCCCAAAAGCCCAATGCAACCCCTACTTATGAAGATAGAAGCAAGCCAAACCTCTTACAACACCCTGCAAAACGCTCTTCACAAAGCTTTGTACACAACCGGGCCTATAAAGGAGAGCAATCGAGGTGAGACTTCATAGGTTCGAAGGTTCCATGTACCCAAATGGGTGGTTGTCAAAATTATGGTCCTTTTGTGGGTCCTTATTATAATACGGCACCTATTATTTAGGGTACCCCAAAAGGGACCATAATTTTGACAACTACCCAAATAGCTTACCCACCTAAACCCTAAACCCTAAACCCTAACCCTAAACCTTATAGCTCCACAACAAACCGGGCCTTCGTTGAATTGCGACCCCCTGGCCGCGACGAAGTCACAGGCCAGCTCGGGGAGGTCTCCATCGACAGGCACCTTCATAAAGCCTCGGTTGGGTTTAGGGTTTAGGGTTTAGGGTTTCGGATTTCTGGGGGCCTTATACATAGAGTATACATAAGGGTTTCAGAAGGGGCTCATAAGAACTAGAGAAATGTGGAGCCTCGGTTGGGTCGGGTTCATGAGGTTTCAGGGTTTCAGGGTCTCCGGGTATACAGTTGAAAAACCTGAGAAGCGTGTCATAAGCGGATCATAGGGAAAGTAGTGATATCAAGCATTTGTTGGGTGGGTACATTTCTAAATCATGTCGTTTATCTGGCAGGGTTGTATAAAATGAAGGTTTAGGGTTGCGCAAGGGTTTCCTACTACTGCTCAACATGTTTTGATTATAGGGGTTGAAAGCGTTCGGGAGGTGTACTTCGAAGGGCTTTGGGAGGGTTGGGCACGGTGCAAAAACCCTAAACCTTAAATGTAGGGGCCTTAATAATTAGAATCTGGTTTTGGGGTTCCTGATAATACTAATATTAATAATAGTATGACAGACCCCAAACCCTCTTCAAACTATTAAGGCCCCTATGTTATGCAGAGGTTTTGAGTACTTGGAGGGCTTTTGGAGCTCAGGGCGTCTCGGGTTCCCTACCAATACACCCCCAATTTGTCTCAAAGGGGCTCATACTTATTCCTCATTAGTCAGTAATTCTTGCTGGAGAACTAGGCCATTTAGTATCAGCTTGAGGAGGGGGCATGACGGGGTGTTACTGGGTTTCTCTACTTGCTCACTACAAGACAGAGATGCAAGGGATGTGCGCGAACGACCCTGAACTGAAGCCCTATGCCCGGAAAGAGCCCTGGAAGTCCACAGCCCTAAACCCTGTAGAACCCATAGGACCCCTTTTTCCGAACCCCATACTACAAAACACAAGTCTAATCTAGAAAAACCCTGTAGAACCTGTAGAACCCCTTCTAGGGAACCTGGAACCCTAAACCCTCAACCCTAAACCCTCAACCCTGTAGAACCTGTAGAAGCCCTTCTGGGGAACCTGGAGCCTGCAAGCCTGAAGTGCTTCTGAGCAGCGCTGGCCATGCGCCTGGTCTTTGCTTCGGAGGCTTTGTGGCATTTAGGATGCTCTTATAGTTAGAGCGTTCCAGGGTGTAGCGGGTTGTTGCAGGGTTTGAATTCAGATTCAGAGTTGGGAGCCTCAGTGCCTAGGGCTGCTTCAGGGCTGCCGCTTGGAGCCCTGAGTTTAGGGCTTCCGAGTTTTGGACTTGGGTGTGGGTTTAGGGTTTAGGGTTTAGGGTTTTAAAATTTTAGGATGCGCCAGTAGGCGGGCTGAGCACGGGCTTTGAGGGAATGCCGGCAAGGTCACAGCTGATGTTACTCGAAACGCTACCTTGGCTCAACACAAGATCCTGCCCCTTTATGGACATAAAGGAAATCATCTAAACTAGGTAGTTTGGGACTTACACTTTTATTATAAACTCTTACCTAAACCCTAAACCCCAACCCTAAACCCCTGAACCCTATACCCCTGAACTCGCATCCAAAACCCCCAGAAAATCCCAAGGCCTTGGCGCTTTTCACAAAGTCCTTCAGCAGCACGTAAGGACATCCCCAGCCTTGGCTTCTTGCGCCGGATCTTGGCTAAGCCTAGGGGCTGAGTATCCTAGCCCCCAAAAGGTAATTGGGGGTTAGGGTTTGGTTTTTTTTTTATCACCTCTTTTCCTTCTCCTTATCAGAGGGTTTGGGGTTTCAGCACTCACAACTGGGACAAGCCTGGCGAGGTTCCAAGTACAGCGACGACAGCACATTGGTCAGGGCAGGCATATTCACCACACCCAAACTCACTCTAATTAAATCGCAACACTACTCGTCCATCGCATGAACGCCTTCCACATGCCACGACCACAACGTTGTCATCCCAATTTTCGAGGGTTTGGGGTTTAGGGTTTGGGGTTTAGGGTTTGGGTTTACACTCTTGCAACTCGGACAAACCAGGCGAGGATCGAGCACATGTCGCGGTTGCAAAGATGCGGGTTGAAATCCTACTCAAAGACACTGGGTCGCTAGACCCTGATTGGAACTAATATACTACCGTACGCATAGGCCCATAGTAGTTCCTTTTTGAGGTTACCTTATAGGATTCTATATATGAACCCCAAAAAGGAACTACTTTAGGGCATATGGGTACGTTCCAAGCGCCTTTAAACAAAAACTTCCCAAGGCAGAGCAGGTCTCCGGAGACGCTCTGCACGACTTCCGCAAAGTTCGCAGGCTGAACCCTGTCACGGAGACGCAGAACGATGCCGTGACACCGCAAAGCGCTGCAGTTACCTAACTAACCGGGACCTTAGGTTGGGTCCTTGAGGGGTCTAGGGCCCTAACTATAAGGTCCTTGGAAGCCTAGGGTAATGCCGTGCTGGTTACGGGTAGATGCTGTGGTTGAAAACTGAAGGCGCGAAGAGTGACCGGGAACCTGCCTACCTGGAGCCAGACAAAAGGGTTGAAATCCGCATGTCGGGTCTGCTATGCGAAGCTTCAAAACATGGATGTTTTTCAAGTCCCAACAAAGTATGAATGGCAGGCCCCTGTAAGCACAAGCCAAGCTTGAAGGCCTTGTTACAAACTATCTGCAATTTCGGGGTCCTCGCGTTCCTCACCCCAGCCCGCCCCCAGTCCCATTGCCTTGTCTAGGCTCCAAAACCTTTCCAAACATAATTAATGCCTTGTGTAGGCTCCGGACATTGCACAAGCTACGCCGAGAAGTCAGTGTGAGGGTTTAGCGTTTGTTGACGCTCACACTCGGGGTTTGAGGCTCTGGGGTACATGTGCAGGATTTTGTCACGTCCAGTGGGCCCTGAGTAGCCTCTTCGGGTCCACAGACACCCACGCGGCCCGAGGTGAGAGCGGTCGAAGGGCAGCATAGGTAGCAGGGAAAAGGTGTGCAGCCGCATACTCTGCCGGCCTGTGAGGGGAAAAACGGGCCTGAATAATCAGAATTGGCTTTTACAGGGTCTTATGGAGTGCTGTAGGGTGTCATATGGGCTGTATATAGGGGGACTTTGGTTTTCTTTTAATCCAGCATTTAGGGCCCATAACTACAAAGGGGACACTCTTAACCAAACACCTGTATCGGCCTGCGACAGCTCTACATCAGCATTCCATACGTGGGACCAGTATTCTATCCATAGGCTGTTCTGTGGGCAAGTCATTTGCTACCATGTACTTGCACATGGGCTTGAGGGTGCTGCGGCTAGTCTTTCAGGCTCCCGAGACGCTGTGGTCCTCCCTGGAGCCTGAGTACTGAGACTAAGAGTCTTCGGTTCCTAGTTCACCATCCCTACGATGGTTTACCCCCTAGCCTTTTTGAACCCAGGCTCTGCTCCCCAGCTTAAACCCTAAACCCTCAACCGTGTAACCAGTCAGTCGAAGGATCTATTAAAGGCTCCTTTACCCGAACCCGCCAAACCCTTAACCTCAAAGGCACTAAATCCTACTTCAGGCTTCTGGGCTGAAGGCTTTCTGGCTCCTAGATTCCGGTCAAAGGATTTAGGAATTGATGGCGTTTCAAGGTTCAAGGGGTTGGGAGTTGGAGTTGGCGGGCACCAAAAGCTTTAGGGACATCAGGGTAGAGGAACCCATTGGGGTGCTTTCGGTGGTCCGAGGCTGTCGAGAGCTCGCTATCAGGCAAAGGCTCGAGCTTGATCAAAGGCAGCCACGACACAGTGAGGCTTATACAACTAGAGGATCCAGAGCCCCAGCCATAAATGCAAAAGCAAGTCGGGCAGGTGGTGCCCCGAAGAACAACGAAGAACAAACGCCCTAACCCCAAGTCCCAGGCCCAAACCTCAAAAAACCTGGAACAAAAGGTCCCTAAACAAAACACATCGAAATAGCGTTTTGGATCGATATGTCAATGATCTGAGCCCCAGACGTGACGAGCAGCTCGACGCCAAGCTCGCGAAGCTTGTCGTGCAAGAACCTTGGCTGCAAAACTACGGGCTTGTGTTCGAGGCTCGGGCTGTTTGAGAAGGCGGCTGGATGCCGGCAATGAAAAGGCGTGATTCGAGGTTGTCCATTGTGTCCTCGTTTACGCAGAATGCAGTGCGCACACACACACACACACTTACCTAACATCCTCTCGAAACTTTCGAGGTCCGCGGTGCAGGGTCTCGGATGTCGGCGTAGTTCAGGGGTTTGGGGAACAGCGGAGAGTCTGCAGACCTTCCCATGATCGACATCGTGCTGTCTCTTCGCGAGGCCAGGACTATCAGCAGACTCCATAGGGCAGTTTTTAGTCGCATGCATCGCCATTTGCTTTGTATCACTCCTCTCTGCTATCTCAAATGCGGTTTCGTTGCTGCCGACGCCCCTGAGACAGCATGAAGCCGCGGAAGATGCCAACAAATCGGTCTCCTGTCAAGCACGAGGGCTTCATGTCGGATCTAAGAGGCACATCGCGATTCTTTAAAATGTTCGGAGTTCCTCAGTGCCAAGCCCTAGATGAAGGACTCTAGTGAGACTCCCCCAAGCCTTCACTTCTCCTAGCTACCCATAGGCCCCAAAGTAGTTCCTTTTTGGGGCTCATATTTAGAATCCTATAAGCTAATCCCAAAAAGGAGCCACTATGGGGCCTATGGGTAGTAGCTAGTCAGTACAATAACCGGAAAGCAGTCAGAGGATCCGGGTAAACTCCCGAGATGGTACGTGCAGTGCAACTCATCAAGCCAATACACCAAGCCAACAAAAGCAAAGCCTTGGGCTCAGATCCTCCAAATACCTTCAAGTCTTCAAGACAAACTCTTACTATTATTAGTAGTATTCTTATTACACTATTATCAGTATTATTATCAATTATCAGTATCATTATCATTATTAGTACTATGATTATTATAACCTTGTAGTCACCTAGTACCCCTATACTCACCCCACCATAGGGAACCCTTGGAACTTAAATTGCTTCTCCTAGCCGTTATAGAAGCCGCGAAGGGCTCACTGGCCTGGCTCCTTCTCTGGCAGCCCGGCTAATGTCACCTGACCCAGTTGGCCGACATTGACGGCTTAGTGACTTGGAGTTTCGGTGTAGGGCTTTGGGGTAGACTGGTTTATGGTCTAGAGAGTGGTTTCGGGGGTGTGGTTTAGAGGCTTAATCAGCGCAGACCTGCTTTTGCATGTGCCTTGACATTGTTTCAGGGTTGATGTCAAGTAAACCCGTTGAGACCGTTGTACCTGCAGGTGTTCCAGGAAGCAAGATCACTTTCCGCGATGTATTGCTCAGCAAACAGTGGCTCTGTCCTGCTCGAACCCCGCTGCCGAAACCCGGGTCAAACGAGGACCCGGAACATGGAAAATCAAAGATCACGACTCCGGTAATCCGCAAACTGTGTCTTCGGGGTTTTGTGTTTCACAAAACCCTAAACTCTAAACCCTAAACTCTAATTAGGTTTTCGGTTCGTTTGAGTGAGGGGAGCCCTTCCCCAAAAAAAGTCATAGGGAGCTTGGCAATCATACAAGTAGGAAGTGGTGCCTTGGCAACGATAGGACCTCAACTGCAGAACTCCCCGAGAGCTTCATATAGCTAATTACATCCGACACACAAGCTTTAAAAACCAAAGTGATGTCCACGGACTCATAGAGATCCCTAGCCCTCTCTTATAGAACCAATGTAGTTGAATTCTCTCTAAACCCTTTTTATGCTGTTTCGTGTGCAAACCCTAAACGGCCTGTAAGACCCAACCCCCTAAGGGCCTCGTTGGTGAGCGTGAAGCGCGCCACGGGCAAACCGGCTGCTGCTGCAGCGACCGCCTCCTGCTGGTTTCCGTGGCTGGGGTTTGGGTCCAAGGGGGTCGAAAGAAATGTAGGGCCCTCAGTTCATAGCTAGAATAAGGCTTCGGGCTAGGACGTCTCGGATTTTGAGCTCAGGGCAATCGGGTCAAGGACGGGGATGCGGATTCTGCAGGGTCTAGCATATCTTTTCATGTTGTAGGGGTGAGAATTTCAGGGTATAAGGTTCTCGATTCACGAGTGCGAATAGTGGCTAGGGCCGGGCTGAAAAACCCCCCATGGCTCGCACCAGTGCAGTGCCAGGCTGAATGATCGCCTTGACCTGACCTTAAATCACCTAAACAAACCCCTAAACCCTAAATCCTAAACCCTTTTGCAACTGGCCTGCAACGACTCTGCCAGGTTCAGGCAGGGGCGGACGGGTGGCTAACTACCCTAAACCCTGAAATCCGAAACCCGAAACCCGCAAACCGTAAACCAGTCCGTCCTGTTCTTCCAGAGAGCCGCCATCATCGGCTGCCCGAGGGCGCTCCAGTGTAGCCCGAGGCGCTCCGGACGAGGCGGACTCCTTGGACCATGGATCCTTGAACCAAGAATATAGTAGTAATGACAACAGAATATTTCTGTTCGTATCATCTGTTTAATGGTATATTTATTGCTACTAGTATTATTACTATTGTTACTCAAGCGCCTGGGGTTTCGAGTTCCTATCCCAAACCCATCCACGCGCACAAATGCCGATAACCCTCGTGAGTCGCAACAGTAACAGCAGAGCCAGCCAGGCGGCGCACCGGGCACAACGGCAGCGGTGTTTGTGATGGCCGTCGTGATCGTCGTCGTAGCAGTAGCAGTAGCAGCAGCAGCAGCAGCAGGAGCAGCAGGAGCAGAAGCGGCAGCAGCAGGAGCAGTGGCGGTAGCGACAGGCTTCAGGTGGGGATTACAACATATTTAAAAAAATCTTCCCGAGTCAGTTGCAGCCGAGATACCCCGCCTGCGCTGGGGCTGCTGGGGTCCTGACCCGGCTCTTGGAATGAGGCGTTCATGCAGGCACCCTAAGCCCTCAATACGCAAAAACACATACCAAAACCAACTCTCAGAATCCAAAATCCTGCAACCGTAGTCCCCATGACTCGTGACCTTGCTAAGGTTAAGGGGGACTCTGGAACATATACCCATAAATATGAGTACATAGACCTGACAAACCCCGCCGCATCCTCCGACTGGACTGCCCGTGCCAACCTCAGCGGACCGTGACTGAGGGGTGTTGGGTTTGACAAGGCGTCGGCCATCGGGTGTAGACTTTCGGGTTTAGCATGGCTTAGGCCATCGAAACTGCCATGACATCAACCCTGATCCTATGCTTTTCTCGTCCAAAGGAGGATCGAACCCAGGTGCAAAACAAGTTCATGGCTTGCTGTAGGATGTCTCTCTTCGGTAGAGTTGTGTCTTGCCCAGCGCGACATACCCAAGGCAGTGCACCTGAAAAGGCCGCAGCATTCGAGAGGATCGGCTGACCCTGACCGCCCAGCACCTGCAGAAGCGCAAGTTGAAAGAAAAATCATGGGGCCACCGTGGAGGTCCGGTCGTTCGGATTTTAAGGATCAGGGTGCTTTTCTGTACAACAACAGGCCGTCGCACTACCACCCGCAACACGACCACAAACGAAAACAGCGCCATCAAATCATCGTGATAGTCTTCTTCTGCATCACACGTCACCATATTCTTCTTCATCTTCATCTTCATCTTCATCTTCATCTTCATCTTCATCTTCATCTTCATCTTCATCTTCATCTTCATCTTCACCNNCATCATGACCATCATGACCATCATCGCCACCGCCATCTCAAGTGGCACCGAACGCATCCATATCTGGCCACAATCTGGAACAACATCGTCTTCCTCAGCATCATTACCGGCACGATGTTGATCGCCACCATCACCAACACAACCAGCCAGACCACCATCCTCGTCAACAGCAGAAACATGACACTCCCTGTTCTCATCCTGCTCTGCTCCTCTCGCGGCATTCTGAGCATCTCCATCGCCGTCACAACGAGGAGCATCTCTTGCCGCCAGCGAGACCGAACAGATAGGTAGGTAGGTAGGTAGGTAGGTAGGTAGGTAGGTAGGTAGGTAGGTAGGTAGGTCGGTGGGTAGGTAGGTAGGTAGGGAGGTAGGTAGGTAGGTAGGTAGGGAGGTAGGCAGG